TAAACAGCTACAGGTTATATTTTAAAGCAGAAAACTAAAATGGCTGTGCTATTGTCCACAAGCCAATTACATATTTATTGGGTTATAGCATGTTCTTAACCTAAGTCTTTTGTATACTCTGTTATGGCCCTCTCCATCAATTAAAGTCAATCTGTACTTGGAATGACATAATGAATCTTCATCAATCATTGGTAAAACATGAATGATTCAATTAGGATTGTTTTTATTCAGGAAATGTCAGATAATGGGATTATAAAAATTCTAAACACAAAGTTCAAATTAATAATCATTGACAAGGTTTTTTAAATACCTTTACAGTATATTTGGTAGTGTAAATATTTAATTTCATTTAAAAATCTACTTATGTACTGATGTCATTGCTCTTATTTTGTAAGTTCAATATAGTAATTAATGTTGTAAGAAAAGGAAAGAAAAATATTTTATAAAAGATTCATAGTGTTAATTTATTATGTGATCATTTTGTGATAAAATGCTTTCCCCAATTGAGTAAAAGATGCATGAATATTTTCAACTTTGATCTTTTAAACCTGGTGTACATTTTTTTATCTTTGTTCAAATCAAATTTAACTGTGCCTTTTTCACCTTTGAGTGTAAAGGAATTGTGTAAAGTAAGCTGTAATTGTTTGTGTATGATGGCTCAAATGTTGTTTCATTGGAATTAAAAATATACTGATTTTCATTAACATGGCATTTATTAATTTAAAGTCAATGAGTTCAGTTCCATGCCTTGTCTATTATGAAATGTGTATGAATATTTTGAAAACATAGCTTAGGTGTAGAAACTCTAAGAAAGGCAGTAAACAGCAGACACTCTCACTGCTATCCTGCCTGTTGTGCCCTTGACTATGTATCTTCTCTTCAATAAATCTACTTTTGTTAATTAAAAAAAAAAAAGCAGCTCTAAGAAAGTTGTTCACACAGGACAGCCATGAATACAGCGACTAATATGGAAAACAAACAAGGAAGAATTAATGTGCTGGGAGGGTGGAGGAAATTAATATACTCATCCTTGTTAACTCTGTGTTTTGGTTTCACAGCAAAAAAAGTTTCTACTGGTTTTAAATTAAAATGGAAAAATATGAGAACTTAGGATTGGTTGGAGAAGGGAGTTATGGAATGGTGATGAAGTGTAGGAATAAAGATAGTGGAAGAATTGTGGCCATCAAGAAGTTCTTAGAAAGTGATGATGACAAAATGGTTAAAAAAATTGCAATGCGAGAAATCAAGTTACTAAAGGTGAGTAAATGTGTATATTGAATTGTAAAAATGTGATTTATTTCTTGATCAAGTTATGGTTTTAGAAAAATATTACTGGTTTTTAAATTTGTTTTATTTTCATAGCAAGGTTTAAGATATACATTTCTTCAGCAATAAGAAAAAAATGAAATGATTAAATATACAAATTCATTTATCTTGTGAATTTAAATCTGATTTTAAAAGTATTTGTTCCTTCTCTTAGTATCTATCTGCCTATGTATCAGCTATCCATCATCCATCTATCTATCTTCTATCTATCTATCTATCTATCTACCTACCTACCTACCTATCATCTGTCCATCTCTCAATCATCTATCATCTAGCTATCTATCCTCTATCACCTGTCATCTATCATCTATCTATACTCTATCACCTATCTGTCATCTATCTATCTGTCACCTATCTATCTATCTATCCATCTGTCTAATATCTATCATCTATCTGTCTATCCTCTATCATCAATCTATCTCTCTGTCTATCAATCATCTATCGTCTATCTTTCTATCATCTAGCTATCATCCATCTTTCTCTCTATCATCTATCTATCTATCTATCTATCTATCTATCTATCTATCTATCTATCTATCTATCATCTACCTATCATCTGTTTTGTGGGTCCCAAAGATCCCTAGGTTTGGCGACTCATTAGGAGGACCACAGTCCTCAGCATGTAGTTGTGCTCATGGCTATGATTTATTACAGTGAAAAGATATAAAGCAAAATCAGCAAAGGGAAAAAGCACGTGGGGGAAATTGCAGAGGAAACCTGGCACAAGTTCAAGAGTTCTTTTTCAGTGGAGTCACACAGGACACACTAATTTCCTCCAGCAATGAGTTGTGACTGTCAGTGTGAAATATTGTCTACCAAGGAAATTCAATAGAGACTCGGTACCCAGAGTTTTTATAGGGTCACATGGGCAGTCTGCCTGGCACTAACCAAAATTCCAAGCTCCCAGAAGTAAAGCAGGTATTCAGCACAAAAAAAATATTGTTTGCACAGTAAACCAACTTTATCAGTTCTGAAGATGAAGGGAATGCTCCTGAAATCCAAGTTTCCAGGTGCCAGCCAGGGGCCCACTTTGCAAGCACACCTTTCTGAGGTAGCAGACTCAGGCCTACTTTGTTAAATCTTTTATTCTCTCCCTCTCTTATCAGTTTCATCAGAAATTTATTAATTTATTTATCTTTAGAACCAATGTATGACTCTGTTGATCAGTATTGTGTCTTTATTTTCTACTTCATTAATTTTTTTCCTTATTATTTGATTCCTTCTATCTATTTTGGATGGGTGTATTTTACATTTCTTTCTCCTAGCTTGTTGAAATATATGATTACTTCTTTAATTTCCAGGCTTTTTTTTCCCTCTTCATCTGTACAGTTAAGGCTATACATTCCCTGTAAGAACAACTTGATATGTATCTCCAATATTTTGATGATTGGTTTCTCATTTCTATTATATTTTTCTTAACACTTGAGTTATTTCCAAGCATATTTCTTAATGTTTGGACATGTGGAAATTTTGTGGTCCTTCTCCCCCAGTTATTTATTTGTGACACAATTGCCCTGAGTATATGCAATATAATAATTTATTCCTTTGAAATTTCATCACATTTGCTTTTCGGTTCCAAATATAGCCAAATAAAAAAATACTCCTTGGGTGCTTAAAAAGTATTCTATTTATGTCCATTCATTCATGTTTGTTAATTATGTTGTTCAAATCTTCTAAATTCTTACTGATTTTTAAAATATGCTTGTTTTACCCAGTACTGAGATAAGATATTATAAAATCTTTCTTTGTGATTATTGATTTTTCTACTTTTTCTTGTACTTAAGTTCATGTTTAGCTTTATAAACATAAAGAACATATTAATTAGTATATCATATTTAGAATATATATATATATTTTGAGTTGGAGTCTCACTCTGTCACCCAGACTGGAGTGCAGTGGCACACTCCCGGCCACTGCAGCCTCGACCTGCTGGACTCTGGCGGTCCTTCTGCCTCAACCTTCTAAGTAGCCAAAACTACAAGCGTGCACTACCTTGCCCGGCTAATTTTTTTGATTTATTGTAGAGATGAGGTCTCGTCAAGTTGTCCAGGCGGGTCTCAAACCCGCGGACTCAGGCAATCCACTCACCTCAGCCTCCCAAAGCATGGGATTACAGGCTGAGCCACCGAGCCCGGCTATATTTAGAATTATTAAATCTTCCTGTTGAATTAAATATTTTATCATCATAAAATAACTCTTTGTATTATAGTAATATTTTGTCTTAAAGCCTGTTTTGTCTGTAACTAATAAGGCTACACTAGTTAATTTTTTTTTCAGATTTTTATTTTATTTTTTATTGTTAAAATGTGGGGAACAATTCAGGATTAGGTATACAAGTGGTCATTGTACAGGTAAAGTTTGGGCCTTCTTTTGGTTCCCACTTTGCGATCAGGTACGCTTACTGATGTTATACTCTCCCCCCGCCACTAGTTAATTTTGCCTAGTGTTTCCATAGTATACCTTTTTTTGCATTTTTACTTTCTTTTTTTTTAAAAAAAATTATTTTAAAGATGTGGGGCACAATTCAGGGTTAGGTATACAAATGTTCATTATGTAGGTGCCCTTGTTGATGAGGTATTCCCCTTCTCCCCTGGCAGTCTCTCTCAACTGCCGATCCCGCTCCCCCCCCCATCCTCTGGCAGTTTCCCACTACTGACAAGTATTTTTACTTCCAATTTTTCCAAATCCTTGTTCAGGTGTATCTCTTGGGAATACCACATAGCTATATTTTGCTTTTTGTCCTGTTTGATCATTTTTGTGTTTTTTCCTTCTTTATTTCAATAGCTTTAGGGGGTGCAAATAGCCTTTGGTCTGGGCTTTAAGTATACCCACCACCCCTACCTGTGCACATTGTACCCAATAGGTGATTTTTCATCCCATCATACCTTCCTCCTTCCCCCCAGGTCTGCAGTGTCCATTATACCATTCTTTTTGTCTTTGTAGATCCTTAGTTTAGCTCCTACTTGTGAGAACATGCTGTATTTGACTTTCTGTTCCTGCGTTGGTTCTCTTAGGATGATGTTCTCCAATTCCATCCAAGTTGTTGCAAAAGATGTTATTTCATTCTTTTTGATGACTGAGTGGTATTCCATAGCGTATATATACCACATTTTCATTATCCATTGATTGGCTGGTAGACATTTAGGTTGTTTCCCCATCTTTGCAATCATGAGTTGTGCTGCAATGAACATGTGGGTGCAGGTGTCTTTTTAGTTTCATGGCTTCTATTCCTTTGGGTAGAACTTAGAAGTGAGATTGCTGGATCAAATGGTAGATCTCCTTTTAGTTCTTTGAGAACTCTTCATACTGATTTTCATAGAAGTTGTACTAATCTACACTCCCACCATAGTGTATAAGCATTCATTTTTCTCTGCATCCATACCAGCATCTGTTGTTTTTTGATTTTGTAATAATGGCCATTCTGACTGGTGTAAGGTGGTAGGTGTCTCACTGTGGTTTTGATTTGCATTTCCCTGACGATTAGTTGTTGAACATTTTTTCATATGTTGACCATTTGTATATCTTCTTTTGAGAGATTTGTATATCTTCTTTTGATTCAAATTTTGCCTTTTAAGTGAAATATTTAGTTCATTTGCATACAGTACAATATCTGATGTATTTTGGATATAAATTGCCACGTTAATATGTGCTATTTTGTATTTCTTTTTCTTTTGTTACTTTGGTTTGAATATCTTCCCCTTTTCCTCTCTGATAATTTGGAATTTATCCATTGTGTTTCTTTTAGTGGTTATGTTAAAGTCTAACATTATTTGATACTTTTTTTTTCCAGGCATGGGCTTCACTCTGTCACTCAGGCTGGAGCGCAGTGGTATAATCATAGCTCACTGCAGGCTCAACCTCTTGGGTTCAAGCAATCCTCCTATCTCAGCCTCCTGAGTAGCTGGGACTACAGGTGTATGCCATCATGCCTGGCCTCTCTAATACTTTTATCCTTTTTCCAGATAATACAAATCCCTTTTAATACTTTATGTCTGGTTATTCCTTTCCAACTCATATGCTAATAACATCATGTATTAACTCTTATTTTTTTAATACAACAAAACATCATTATTATTCAGTGTTCATTCAGGTTTAAATTTTCCACTTTGTTCATCCTTTCTGCATCTTAGATCACTCATTTGGGATCTCTTCTCCTCTTCTTGAAGTATATTATTTACAATTTCCTTTTGTGAGCATCTGTTGTGGGTAAACTATTCAATTTTAGTTTGTGTGAAAATGTTTTCATTTTGTCATTCCAGAAGGACGTTTTTACAAGGTATGAAATTTTAGCTTGGCAGTTATGGCAGTTATTTTCTGTCACTAAAATGAAAATAACATTGTTCTGCCCCATGACTTCTACTGTGGCTCTTAAAAAGTCAGCTATCAGTTCAGTTGCTGTTTTTTTGTAAGTGAATTTTTTTATGTTTAGGACTTTTTTTCTTTCAACTTTTAATTGACATATACATACAGAAAAGTATACATATCATAAAATTACATCTTCATCAATTTTCAAAAAATGAACAAGCTCATGTAAACAGCATTTTAAGTCAAAAACAGTATGTTAAAATCACCCCCAGAAGCTTCCCTTATGCCTCCTCCAGTCGCTACCATGTTCTTCTACCCAGGTAACAGCTAACCTGATTCTGAACAGCATAAAGTAGTTTGATTTCTGGCTACTTATAATATTTTCTCCCTTTGTTTTTCTCAATTTTCACTATGATGTTTCTAGCATGGATATCTTTTATCCTGCTTAGAATTCACTGGGTCTTCATGACTCATGATGTGATTTATTTTATTCATTTTGGAAATTTCTGAGCTATTATTTCTTCAAATATTATTTTGGCCCATTCCCTTTCACCTTTATTTTTGGGACACCAGCTAACATACATTAAATTTTCTCACTGAATCCTCTGTGTCCCTTTCCTGTTTTT